CTTTTGTTAATTTTGGTCTCAAACGTTTCAGAATGACGTTGAAAAGTAGATAAAACATCAAATTAGCAAAAACAAATTAGCATTTCTCTGAACTAGAATCGTAAATGAACTGAATATACTTTAATCAATAAAGTAACTTGTAAATTATATAATGTGTTGTTTATTTAGCAATTGTGTGAATTTCTGTACTTCATATATATATATATATATATATATATATATATGTACTTTATCATATATATATATATCACTTTTTGCAATCACCGCAATTATTCATAATCGCGCAATGTGGAGCAAATCCATTTATGCACTAGAACTTATCTCTGCAATAAACCACTTTTAATATGTACTCATTATATATATATATATATATATATATACATATATTCTATTTATTATTAATATAATTACATGGCATAAAATCCGCTTATCGCGATTTATAATGAAACGTTCCTACTGACGGATAAAACGGTTCATTGTTAATAATATACCGGTTGCCGATGATGCCAATTTGCTGTGGTGTTGCCAGATGATGTATTGGGTCATTATATATATATATATATATATATATATATATATATATATATATATATAATCTAAATCTAATTCTCTCTTAAATTCGTCTATTTTACTTATGTCCTCTAACTTTAACTTAATTAATAAATAGATTTTCACAACACTTCACCTAATAATCAAATAATCTCCATCTGCACAAGTTAACCTTTTTATTTTTTTTTCAAATATCTCATTATTTTATCATATTCTGTTTATAAATAATATTGTTACTTTCTACATTATATATGTAATTTTATGTTAAGCATTTTATGTTAATAACTATATATTGTAATTTTGTATATATTTTAATTGTTATTCATTATGTAAAATAATTGTATTTTGAGTCCTCTTGGAAGAAATCTGTGGGCTATATATTTAAAATAAATAAATAAACTAGTGGGGTGGGTGGCATCGTGCCTTAAGGCAAATTGCTGAAACTTCCCGTACCGTAACGAAATGTTCGAGGAATATTGAATGTTTTCAAATAGATTATTATAAAAATTGTAACATTGTCTAATATTTAAAAGAATTATATAAACTGAATTGCAGAGTTGAAATTATTTGTTCAAAGTATATTAAAAATATAGTCAGAATTAAAAATAAAATCTAAATTATTATTTTCGATAAACAAAAAATTAAAAAAAAAAAAAAATTGAAACAATTTTTTTTTTTCCAGAATCAATTATTTTGTTAAGACAAGCAGAAAGTTCTTTGTATCAATTGAATCTGATGCTTAGTTCTCTCAAAAACTGCCATTTTTTGTACATTTAGCTCTGTATCTCCGAAATGGCTGGGCCTACCTTTGCGAAAAACTAGTAACCCCTTCTCCCAATCATTAATAATTGAATGCTTTTTAGATCATTCAAATCGGATGCTCCGTTCTCTCAAAAACTCGATTTCTATTTTCTGCACTCTTTGCTCGTTATCTCCGTACCTGCTGGACCTGCCTCTACCAAAAACTAATCAGCACATCTCCTTAGCAATAGGAATCGAATGTTTTTTAAACCATTCAAATCGGTTGATCCGTACACCCACACACACACACAACACCACACACACACATCCATTTTTTGTGAGGTATGCCAAAATGTTCAGAAACCTTCAAAACGTCAAGAAATGTAAAAATTTTCAATTCCGATTTTCGGCCCATTACAATAACTTACCCTACTGGAAGTTGATAAATATATAACATTTTGAGTTTTATCGATTAGATTTTAATTTTGTTAAGGAATCGCCGACGAACGATCAAGTTTGTGTTGGTGTTAAACGATTCAAGATAACATGAAGCATAAAATTAGCAAATCGGATTTTCTGGCAAAAATATAAACTTTTTTTCGGGAAGTTAATTTCTCAAAGCTATGAAAACTTTTCTTTACATAACCCCATCCACTCCATCATCCTACGCCTGCACTTTGTACTGTACTGTATAAATTACAAAGTTTGATCTCGATAACCTCGCTTAGCAGTCCAAGAGGTTAATTTAATCATTATTATTATTGTTCTAAGTATTATTATTATTGATTTTTATAAATTTGTCAGTAAAGGGGCCGCCAATGGCCTGTGGCCTATGGCCTATGGATACTTCGACTGGTCTAATTATTAGACGGAAAACTTGTTCTGGTTTTTGTATGTATAATTTGTTTCCATGTCACTCGGCATCAATCAGTTGTTGCCGTCCATCATAATTATATAATAATCACGTTATGAAATACAATGGTAATGATAATAGGTGAGCATAATAAGAGCAACATTTCAAAAGAAAGTAATTTGTTAATTAGGTATTTGATTTGTCACAAATTAACCTTTGATGTTGTCGATTATCATAACCTCCAATTTCAAGTATTTGGGAAGCATCCTTATGACCCAAGTTAAATAATTTACTCATGAGCGAGTCTAATATCGACCTGGGTGACAGAAATATGACCTAATGTCACAAAAATGAGTAGAAGATGTTAATACTGCTAACAAGCAATTGCAAACTGAATATTTCATATTAGAAGAAAAAGGTGAGTCTACTAGGAGCAAATTACATGCCAAACTAGCTGTAAGTGGAATTCTGTCTTGAGGCAATTATGGCATCGTGCCTTAAGGCAAATTGCTGGAATTTCCCGTACCGTAACGAAATGTTCGTGGAATACTGAATGTTTTCAAATAGATCATTATGAATATTGTAACATTGTCTAATATTTATAAGAATTATATAAAATGAATTGCAGGGTAGAAATTATTTGTAAAGTATATTAGAACTATAGTCAGAATTAAAAATAAAATCTAAAATATTTTCGATATACAAGAAACTAAAAAAAAAAAAAAAAAAAAAATGGAGCAAAAATTTTTTTTCCCAAAATCAATTATTTTGTTAAGACAAGCAGAAAGTTCTTTGGATCATTAAAATCGGACGCTTAGTTCTCTCCAAAATTTGCCATTTTTTACATATTTTTCTCGTATCATCAAAATGGCTGGGCCTGCCTTTGCCAAAAACTAATAAACTTTTCCCCAATCATTACTAATTGAAGTTTTTAGATCATTCAAATCGGATACTCCGTTCTCTCAAAAATTCGATTTCTATTTTCTGCACTCTTTGCTCCGTATCTCCGAAACGGCTGGACCTGCCTTTGCCAAAAACTAATCAGCTCTTTTCCCTATCAATAGGAATCGAATGCTTTTTGAACCATTCAAATCGGTTAATCCATACGCCTGAAAACGTGGACGAAAAATTGTATCCATACATACATACACACACACACACATCCATTTTTTCTGAGGTATGCCAAAACGTTCAGAAACCTTCAAAACGTCGAGAAATGTAAAAATTTTCAATTCCGATTTTCGGCCCATTACAATAACTTACCCTAAGGGAAGTTAACAGAGGACGAAAAGTACTCTACTGACGAGCAAAATGTATGTCGCAATTGAGGAACGAAAGAAATTTTATTAAGGAGCAAATAAAATGGCAACCAAGATAAGGACTCTACTGACAAGCAAACTAAATATCAATATTAAAAAAAGTGAT